ATTAAAAGTAATTTATATATTTTTTTCTTTTCATTTATCGATATATTTTCAACCTATCTTTTAAAAAGAAAACAGTGACATATTAAAATTTTAAAATTGAAAATAATACTTCAATCATAATAATTGAAGTAACAATATTACCGTAATAAATATAAAATTGAAAAACTTTTGCTCATAAGATTAAAATAGCGAAAATAATAACTAATATTATTAAAGGAAGATCTACGTTGATAAAATAGAAATACAAGTTAATCATTGGGCAAGTGATAATGTAATATACACGCTTGAACATATCGCGAAGGTTATTAATTCGTAGAAGTGTTGAAGAAAACAAGAAAATGGAAGGGAAGGGAAGGAGGTAATGTGTGTGTATGGAAGGTGAGGAATTTGTAATTGGATGGTTCATTTATGAAGTGGTTAGTGCATGTCAATCGTTTTCAATCATTGGATGTACTAAAGAAATTAAAACAGTTAATGAATATGATTAAGGAATTGAATTGAGTAATTAGGGAGATGTCCCCACCCACCAAGAATTGTCAGGCACATTAATCTCTCTTTCATAATGCATAACTGTTGGGTTAGTGAAGTCTCCTCTTCGCATCATCATGTTTGTTAAATTCGTCAACCATAACTTATTCATGTCAAAAGACAACAATTCATATATATATATATATATATATATATATATATATATATATATATATATATATATATATATATATATATATATATATATTCCTTAATTTTCATTTTTTATTCTTTCATTTCAACAATGGGGTCTATATATAGATCAAAAGGCATTTTAAAATGTGGATGTGATTGGACAGCTAGCTAGCAACAGTCACGTAAATAGAATAAAAGGAGAATTTTTTTTTGAAGGTTAATTATATAAAAACGTGGACATCCACATAATTTAACGTTTGTATATCTAATAGTTTTAATTAACTTAAATTTAAAATTACTAGTTAAGTTATATTATTTTTATGGTTAACTTTTTTATTTTCATTTAGGGTTGGATATAAGCATAATTAAGGATTGATATTTATTTTTTGTATTATTTATTGGTGTAATGTAAATGGTAACTCGGATGTTTCCTATATTAAAAAAAAAAACACTTTTTTCACAATCTCTCATTTTTTTAAATTACTCTTCAAGTTTTTACCATAAAATTTGTTTAAAGACTAAAAATATACTGGTTCACCCTATTTCCTGTATATATAGGTTATTTATCTAGTAATTTTTTTTTTGGGTGCCAAAAATTATGCAAATTTATGAGTTCCATAATTTCCCAGAAGAATATCAGTTGAAAATCAACCACAGAAAAATGGTTTCGAAGTAGAATATATATTAGGTCAAATATATATACCATGCGATATGATCTGTTACTCTGATTCTAATATTGAGAGTACAGTAGAGCCTACTACAAAAAATATTAAAATTACCGACGGTCAAAATCCGTTGGTAATAATTTTATTATTTATTAAATATTTTACTTATTTAAAGCATATTTTTTTTATAGAACCCCATCCCCTTTTTATCCCATTTATATTCTTATTATTTCTTCATATTATATTTTCATAGCTTTGAATTATTATCGAGTTTAAGAGAAATGTCATTGGCAGGATTCAAACCCAAGTACCTTAGAGTTAGAGGTCGATACTCCAACCACAAAGCTACTAGAATTTCTTGATAACAATTTACAAATAAATTATATTTATATTCAAATATACAAATATATTTATATATTTATATATTTATATATTTATATATTTATATATTTATATATTTATATATTTATATATTTATATATTTATAAATTTATATATTTATAAATTTATATATTTATAAATTTATATATTTATAAATTTATATATTTATATATTTATATATTTATATATTTATATATTTTTATATTTTTATATATTTATAAATTTATATATTTATAAATTTATAAATTTATAAATTTATATATTTATAAATTTATAAATTTATAAATTTATATATTTATATATTTATATATTTTTATATTTATATATATATATATATATATATATTTATATATATATTTATATATTTATATATAATTAAATATTTATTTTTTAAAATTATTTAATTTAATAAATTATTATAAATTAATCTAATTATGATTAAATTAAATTATTAAATCAAAATATTTTATTTTTTAATTAGGTGAATAATTAAATTATATTATCTAATTTTACTGACGGATATATCCGTCGGGACTGGATTAATTGTTAATTTATCGACGGATTTATCGACGGATATATCCGTCGGTAAATTAATGACGGATTTATCGACGGATATATCCGTCGGTAACTAATTATTATTTTACCGACGGATATTTCCGTCGGTAACATCAAATTTCAAAAATATTTTATCTCCGTCGATAATTTTCATCGGTAATGATTATTTTCCAACGGCTACAAATCCGTCGGTAAATATCCATCGGTAATACGTGATTTTCTTGTAGTATGAGAAGAAATATATTCTTCATCAAATTTATTATGAACTGGAACTGTGAGATGAAAGGTGTATGGTATCAAACTCCCATACCCAACAAGGGCAATAGTGCATGCATAATAAGTTTTTGATTTGTAATTAATATTGATGACAGTGTTGGCGTGTTTGAGTGAAAAACTTTGAGCTGAGCATGCAAACCATATTGCTACTAAGGCTGCAGCTAACATAAAGATAGTGACAAACAGAGTGTGATGATGAGAGAGTGGAGGACAAAACTGTGCTGGCAATTCATTTAAATTGGAGTTTTCAAAGAGTAAAAGGTAATTAGGTTACAAGTATTGTTCATGAAGTATCACTAAAAGGAACTCCTTTTGGGTACGGAAATTTTGTTTTGGATTGTTTGGTGTCACCCCAAAAAGGTTGTAGCCACATTAATTAAAAAAAAAAAGGGGAGAGAATAATAATCAAGTATTAATAGTATCGTACTAAATTACTTCATATATATAAATTGTATAAGCTTCATTGCCAACCAATCACATTGGTTAGTGAGCTTCCCTAGATGAAGTACATTACAGTATTATTACTATATATCTATCTAGTGAAGTGTAAGAAGAATATGGTGGGTCTTTGAAGTTGTGATGTAATCTAACATAGTGATTGTATAACTTATGTGGTTTATAAGATGATCACCGTCATTAAACTTTTACATTATCCATATAGAAGAATAAACTTTTTTAGCTATTTTATCATATATCATTGCTTGCGTCAAAAGCTTCTTTATCTTTATTTACCCTTTATTATGTATGATGCATTGGTGTTGACATATGCATCAACATGTACAACAAAAAATTCAAATGTTGGGTCCAAGATTCTCATAGGGTTATAGCATGTATATAAAAGGGTTTCTTTTAGGTTATATTCCCTCACCACGAAACTATTCCAACCCAGTTCAGCTATGTCGGTAAGTTTAATTTATTAAGTGTGAATGAGTTGTTAGTTAACTAAAAGTAACATTAATTAAGGTGAATACAAAATTGCACCATCCACCAACCAAATAAATTTAAAATAAAACTAAGAAGCCAAGGAAGAAGAGATTTAGTTACGGGAAACGACAAGAACATGGAAATATGAGGAGGAAGGAACCAACAATGAGAAAATGAATAAAAATATTGTTGGAACAATTTGAGAGGAAAAGAAATTCACCGAAGAAACAGGAAGGAATAAATGAAGATTGGGACGAAGAAGGGTTGCAAGTACTAGGAGTGCATGAGTTATTGTTTGGGTTATTGTGGAAGGTTTTTCAGTAACAATGTCATAAAAATTGTTGAAAAATTAATTTTGCTTGAGGTTGCTCCCTTTCCAAACCATGTGCGCAGCGTGGATTTTCACTCCTTTTTCTATTATTCACTTTTGGCATAATGAGGATGGAGGGGGAGAAAAAGTATCAAATGAAATAGAATGAAAATTCGTCAATAAAAATGAAATAGAGTGAAAATAAAACGAAAAACGTAGATATAAAATTGATTAATTTTAAAATTTAAATAAAAAGTTTACTTAATTATCTCCATTGCTGCTTTTATTCATCAGTTTTTTTTTACTTAATTAGGTTGTATTAAGATAATTTTATATTATTGAGATAGTAAATAATATTAAAATAAGTATAATTTATTATTAAAAAATTCTTAAAAGAGATTTATTACTTTATTATTTATATTTCATTTTTATTTAAATTTTTTTATTTGTATGATATTTTTTTATATTGACTTCAATGCTTTTACATGTATACTTTAGAATTCCACAGATTTTAATCTTTATAATTTTTTTAATAGAAACGCACGTCTTACTTTAAAATTAAACACACAAGCATCGTAATTTAATAAAAGTTCTATACTATGCATAATGGTTTTTATTTGTTATGCATTTCTTTTCTTTGTTTTTGTTATTTGATTTTCGTACAACTAATCAATCCGATTTTGTTTTTCATTCCATTTATTTCTCTTTTCAACCATACCAAAATAAACCAAATAAAGCTTGAGCCTTGCATGGCCATAATTGTCATTACAAATAATATGTTAAAATTGATGTTAAATTGAGAAAAATGGATCGATGAAAAGAATTGATGTTAAATTATGATAAGCAGAAATAATTATTAGATATAAGAAAACATAATATAATCCTATAAAATTAATTTTATAAAATGAGAGTTGTAAGTATTTATATGCTATATAATGTTACTGTCTCTGTAATTAATATAGGATTTCATTATGTCTTAAATCAAGAATTTTCTTCTCCTTTTATTTCAACAGTAATTAAGTGAAAGTTTAAATTATGTAGCAGTTGTTGACCTATTCCTTTCATTGCAGTTGATTGTGCATGCAAGAAGGAAGTAGCTGCAAAAGTGCGTCAACAACGACCAATGAGCAGGTCACCAAGCTAGAATCTCTCTCTGCATAACCTCTGCTAATCATTGATTATCATATTTTATATAATCATCTCAATTTAATAATAAAACTCAAGAATCACGGAGATTGGAATGTAAGTAGTATGAACACGCGTTTGCAAGCTCTCAAGTAACAAGAACACATTGCTACCATTCTGTTCAATCTGCTTTTTTTAATTCCTTTTCCACCGCGATTTTTCTGGTGGCTAACCCCAAAGTGCTGTTTCGATAACGACATGGGCGTGAGATGCGGATCAAATACTTCAGATACAGCCACATATTTCTATTAAATTAAATAATACAACTAACTATATTAATATAGTTTGCATGTTGAGAGGGAAAAAAGCATGTTCCCAAAATGGATTTATGTGATTAAATATTGTCATGACACTTCTGACGAGTGTTTCGAATTTTCACATCATTCACAGATAAATTCAACATGTTTTTCTTTTGAGAAATTGGCAGCAGCATATAAAATCTTATGGAAATTTATTAAACTTTAAGTCAAAATTATAATTTAAGAACTAAAATTGTATTGTACGGTAAACATACGAGAACTCATTATACTCCTATATCACATCAGGAGATCTAGATAGTACCGCCTGGTGATGGTCATAAAAATATTTTATAGTAATTATAAGAAATGTAAAATATTTGATTCATAAAAACCTCTTAATACATCATACTTAAGTGTTAAAATATCTTTTGCAGATACTTTTTCACGTGCATTAGAATCATAATGAGAGTTGAGAGCGACCGAAACCTTAGTGATTGACTTGGTAGAACAGGTCGATTAATATTCGGTCTTGGATGAACATGTCCCATTTTAAAAAATAAATATTTCAATTAAATTTAGATAAATATTTGCTTGGAAATATATATATTTGAAAAAAAAATAGTTTTGATAAGTTAAAATTATGTATTAATTAAAAATACTCTCATGATCATGTTGAAAACCAAATATAATCTTGACAAATAAACAATGGATATAGCTTTCGAGGTCGAGAAAATGTCAAAGAAATCAACATAAAGTGTCAGAGAAAAGGTTTTCATTTTATGCTCACAAGTTACCAAACGATGGAGTTCATCGATTCTTTGAATTGTTAGCACACTTAGCTGTACGTGTTTTAATTTTCTTCACAGCTGTAGTATTGATAAATACTAATTTATAATTCATTTCTTATGTGTAGAAATCAAATATTTTGTGGACGAAGAATAAAGAGAGAAGAACAAAGAATAGGTCAACATCGACGAGATAGCAGAGGCTGGCAAATGGCAGAAGCAGTAGCCGTAGTAGTATATTATTCTCAACCGTACCAAAATTATCAATCTCATTATAATATTTTGATAAAATAAAATTCGATCCCACAAAGAATAATTTTAATAAAAATTCTCAATTATACTTACTAAGTATATTAAATAGATTGAGTTTTGCAAATAAGAGTTTAGTTGAATTTAAATGAGAAAGAACTATAAATTGTTGAAAAAATATCAATTAAAGGTACTTAAGATTGACTTCCTTTCTTATCCCTCTTTTGTAATGGTTATGTCAATTAAGAACGTCAATTAACCTAACAATGTTGATGTCACCTACTCAAATCATCCATGTTGATTCCTCACACATGAAATTCATAAGAAAACCTAATAAATGTTGATTCCTCACACAATTAACAAATTTTCCAACATTAGGGTTAGGGTGTTTAAGCAATTGATACATTCATTCCATTTTTTACAATTAACGTAACAAATATTTTTCCCGTGATCTAGGGTTCAAGATATATTTTCCAATCATACCTCAAACAATCAAGAATAAATCATTACAAAGTATAAAGGACAAGAATAACAACATCAGAGCATAGATTAATATCTCAAAATATCACCATGATACAAAAAAGTTCAAAGGAAGTGCACCGAATCATAAGAGAATGAAGTTAGTCACTCATGTTGGCCATTACAATGCTCCAATTGATGAAGAAGTGAAGAATTGATGAAGATTAGACAAAACCCTAACAGTAGTCGTGTCTCCTCTCCTCCAAGACTGCTTGCTTTTTTCAAAACACAACTTATCTTTTTATAAGAGAATTTGGGTCGAGTCTCGCATCATTTATTCGCTTAAGCGTTCTTCTTTCTTTCAATTTTACTCTAATTATGTTGACAATTATACTCCTTACTCTTGTATCAAGGTATTCTCGAATTCATCCTATATTGGGAGAAAAATATATTAGAATTAACATAAGATAAGTTAAGTGATTTCATAATAATTTAAGGCATAATTATATCAACTTTTTACCATTTAACATATTATCATATAATATTTTAATATAATATCTTTAATATAATAATAAATTCTGATAATATTATTATAAATATAATATTAAAAAAATCACCATTAATATCAATGAAGTTATGTATATATAATAATATTGGTAGAGTTTCATTTATATGTGTGCATGGATGAGCGTGGCAACGATATTGCTGATTTCTGACAGAAGATTATATGCAGTACCTGTACCTCACAATGTAAAATCTTATCCTTAAGATTTTATTAAATTGGTAGACACAACACACACAAAATGAGTTCCATGAATCAAACCGAAAGAACAGTTCATTCACTTTACGCATCGAGAATCCATTTCTGGAAGCACCAGAGCCAGCGCATGTGGAGAGTAATCAAATTCCAATTTTGATTATCGAAACCATGGGCACGGTAGAATTAAATCAATTACATGTTTTTAATAATAACAAAACCAATTTAATATTATTACGAGGATGGTATTAGCGACAAGATTGATAAATGGAACAAAAAACGTGGCAGCCTCTCATGGTTTAGAACGCACCGAAAGCTTGTGATTATCCTGTAAAGTGGCTGCGCAAATTTTGTTTTGGATGCTAGAGAATACCACCACCTATAATTCATACGCCGTAGCATGTGCCATCTACGTCTATTTCCATTTTTTTTTTTTTGTATAACTAACCAAGTTCAAGGTAAGATGGTGTAAAATCAAGATACATTATCACTTTAAAGAAAAACCAAAGTTTGAGTTTTCTTTTTTAGTTGTTCATGTTTTAGATTTTGTTGACAGAAATTCGAAAAAAAAAAAAGCATATTTAACTTACTATGTAACTTTTTGATAAATTCTTATATTTTACCCCCATATCTTACGTGCTACTATTTTTGTTTTTGTTTTTTACGAAACAATAAAATAAATAAAAGTGAAGAAAAAGAGAAGAGATGTGAAAGACTACAACGTAAGAGAATTTTGGAGACGCTCATGTTGACGTCATAGTAAAAGGGAGAAGAAAATTTTAGAAAAGAGAAGTTGTGAAGCGATATCATAATAGTAAAATAGATATGTTAATTGTTTAATAATTAATGTAAAACATTTAATATATAGATTAAGAAGCAGGTTCGATTATTATAAAAATATTATTATATTTATATTAATATAGAATTTAGTATACGTAATATACGTGAAAGGATCTGTTAACCTAAGTGGTGTGTTTTGAAAAAATATCCTTCCTCTTCTAAATATATTGAATGACATAACATTTTATATAAGTTATAACAACTAATAGGATAATTTATTTAACAATTAATAATTCAAATATATAGGATTAATAGATAAAATAAAAAAAATTAAATATTTAATAAAAAAATTTAACAATTTATAACGTTAATATTTTTTATTTTATTATATGTTTTTCAAATGTTATTGTTAAAGTGAAATTGTATATATAAAATCTTATCCAAAACTGGTTGATATATTATTTATATATAAATTAAAATTAAATTAATATATAATTTTTAAAATATAAATTATTTGAGATTATTATTATTTATTAATTTTAACTAAATATAATTAATATATAATCATAACTATATGAAAGTTTAATTTAAATAATTGATTTAGTGTAGAATTATTTAAAATATAATATTTATTAAAAGGACATGAGTGTAATTTGACTTATATAATTCAAATGCGAAAATAATGTCAAACTAAAATGTTGAAACTTTGAATTGAAAATGACATGAGTGTGAGATGTTGTTGCTGTTTTGTATGGTACTTTTTATTGGTTTGAGTAATATAGTCCATACAAGTACGTATGCACATGCTTGGGTAAAAATTTGATGGCGCATTAATGCATCCCCATCAACCATTGGAATCTCCATAGCCAATTTATTTGAAGATATATAAAAATAATAATACCTACCTTCACTGCAGAAATCAGAAAATGATAGCTATTAATTTCTTCATCCTCATAATTAAATAATTAATAATTAATTGCATTTGTTCATGAAGTCCAAAATAGAGGGAGCTGTGCCCATAATTTAGAGTACGTGAGCGAATGGGCATTTGCAAATTGTTAGAATTTAATTTTTGTGTCAATTGTGAGGTGAAAAATGAAATATATGTTTTTTTTTTAAATAGAGTATAAAAAAAATTCTAATATCTCATGTACATACCACAAACTGTTATTGATTATTGTTCTTCTCGTTCCTTAATCCATAATTCACAAACGTTGTCCTTCTTCTCTCCCCTTATATCTTGCCAACGTAATTGTTGGTGGATATTTAACGTATAGGAAGTCGAATTTTCTAAGCTCTGCACTATAAACAAATGTCTTTATTTTTTTTCTAAAATTATAAAATACACTTTATTTTTATTTTTTTTTCTGGGTTTATATAATTTTTTAAGAATTTTTTACTAGTTTTTGAATTTCTAAAAAAATCAGGAAAAATTCTTATTGTATTCTGAAAGATTTGTATAATACACCACAAATAAGAATTCAAGGACATGTCAATTCAAAAATATAGTTTTGTTCATGTTGTGTCCGAATTTACTACATTTCTTTTCTTTTTTAGTAGTTTAATTATATTTAAAATTTGAGTAAAATCTCAAATGACTTTTCACACACACTATTAGATTAATTTTGAAATTTTGATATTAAATTAAAGAATAAAATATTATTTAGTATCTCTTAAATGTTTAAAGTTGGTTTTATTTCTTTTAGAATTTCTTCGTCTGTTCTCAATTTGTCTAATTTTTTAAATACACGACTCTTTTATATGGCGTTGTCAAACAAAAATGGATATATTTTAAAAAGTTGAAAAACTAAAATTCAGATAAAAAATTTTATACGCATTAAAATCAAATTAAAAAAAATAAAACTTTAGAAGAATTAATTCTTTTAAATATCTTCTAATCTATGAAAAAAAGTTAATATCTTTTGTGAAATCTTTATAACAAAATAATCTTATAAAATGATTAATTTGATAAAAGGAATAATAAATTAAAATATCTAAGATTAATTATAGAATAATTTGAATTGAATCATATAAAAATTTAATTTTTACGTACTATAATATAAATAAAAATTACCATCTTAAAGATATTATATAAATATTAGAATATTAAGTGTAAAATCTTTATAATTAATGATGTAATGAATCTATAATTATTATTATTATTATTATTATTATTATTATTAAAATCAAACTGAAACATAATTTGAATATATAACAAAGTGTTTTCAGTATTATATATACATAAATTTTTTAATAAAGATTAAAATTATATATATATATATATATATATATATATATATATATATATATATATATATATATATATATACCTTCTAGATTTTATAGATGTGATGATGATATCTTTAACAAGTAGACAGATGATTATATAAATATAGAATAATAGTATTTTATAGATGTGATGATGGTATTTTTAACAAGTAGATAGATGATTATATAAATATAGAATAATTTTTAAAATAAGGTATATATATATATATATATATATATATATATATATATATATATATATATATAACTTATTTCTCAAAATAAAATCATAAATATATGTTGAATTATTGGCAAGCGTACCAAAATTATCAATCGCAGTATAATATTTCAATTAAATAAAAGTCGATCCCACGATGAACAGTTTCAATGAAAATTCCCAATTATGCTTACTAAGTAGATTAAACAAATTGGATTTTGCAAATAAGAGTTGAATTGAAATTAAATGATGAAGAACTATAAATTGTTGAGAAAATATCAATTAAAAGTACTTAG